TTTTACCCGACATTGAGCTTTCAGTTGCTCTTGTTTTGTCACATCAACTTATTGCAACCTATTGATTCCTCCTGGATTATGATGAAGAGTTCTTCTGCACCGGTTCTAGTAGCTCCCCAGGTCAATTCCGGAGATTGGAGGTGTTTCAAGTCCTCAGACGCTCCTTGTTCATCCTTTTTCACCGTACTTCCGAGGTTGGGACAGAGGAGGGTAAGAAAGCCGTTCTGTTCTGGATCTTTCTGCGGATGTGGAACCTTCGCCCTGGTGGGTCTCTCTTTTCGCCCCGGTCGTGGTCGTGGTCCTGTCATCTCCGAATCCATCCGCTCCTAGTCACTCCAAGCTTGCCACTCGCCGTGGTCGTGTTCCCTTGGGGTGTTGCGGTCCCCCTTCGCGGATGGTTGGGGACCAAAGAAATCCAAAGACCCTAGGGATCCAGTCGTACCTTCTCAAGTACCTTCAGAAGGTGTTTGGAGACACTGTTATGTATAGGTGGTTTGGAGGCTCCAGTCGTACCTTCTGACCCTAGGGCTCCTGGCCCATGTCCTCAGGAGAAGGTGGGCCCAGACCTCCCTGGCACCCGGGCCCCCTGTCCCATCGAACCGAAACGGAGGTGGGCCAGGAGCCCTAACGGGTGAGACCGTGATCCACGAGTCAAGAAGAACGACCGAGCTCCCGGTGATGTACTTGGTTCGGTGGCCTGGTGGTGTTGTACTCCTGGGTTTGGTATGTCGATGCATTTGCTCCATGTTCCTGGACCCCACTTCAAGTACCCTGGGAAATGGGACATGACCCTATTTAAAAAAAACATGCAGGTAATTACTAGTACCTGGTCGGTTCTTCAGTACGTGACCTGTTAATCACCTGGTTGCCTCGGTCACGAACAAGCGTCCGGACTCGGGTCACGAAAAAGAATCTTCCAAAAGTGACTAATCTGAAGAAGCTGGCATTGATCTCTTGTAATTACCCATTCCTAAGGTACGAACTGAGACTCCATCTTCATCTTGCTTGGAGCCACTTACTTCGCTCCAGCGGACCCTTTTCGTGACACCCGGGTGACAAACGCGGGTGGTTCAACCTGCGAGGCACCAGGGAGGCACCAGGGAGGCAGGAAAGGACCAATTGGACAGCCTGCCGACACCGAGGTCGGACTCTCGGAATCCGAGACGCTTTCAGACACCGGGGGGGTTACACGACCCGTTTGGCCTCCGTTTTCGTACCTTCTCCGCTTCGGTTTGGGACGGACGGGGGTGCCAAGAGGGTCCAGTCATACGGAACCTGACCCAGACACGACTAATGGGACTGCCATAGGACTGCCGATCAATTGGGGTGGTTTGAGGGGTCAATGTAGGCATATATGCCATACATGGAGTGTTTGGGTGAGGAGGCACTTCGAGGTGTAGGGTTTGATAGAGACTTCCTTCGCCAGTGGCCGTGCTGGGGATCTTCAACGAATTCGGGCCCAGGAGTTGCCACGCGGCGCTGCTCGTGTCCACTAGAACCACCACCGTATTTTTTCGAGAGAATCTCCTTCGAAAGGGCCCCGAGGCCCTTTCGGAGTGAAGCAGAGCTTTGAGTTGTGAACATGCAATGGTCATCGTAGTTCAGGTTGGACGACTGTATTGGGTGAAGAAGTTGGGTTATGTAGCGGTAGAACTATAGTACTGGTGAATGAAAAGACCACTATGTGGGACGACGAACCACCCGAAAGTGTTGATGTTTTTGCCATGTCCTATCAAGAGTCATAATTCGACGGCAACGATTGGTCAGATCATCACCCCCGCAAAAAATTACACTACTTTTGTTATATTACCTATTTGTTTTGTAAAGACATGTTCTTCCCCAGTCAGATGTTGTAAACTTCTCCCCAGGCCGACATGTTAGAATGGGTCAAGCCCTCCCTACCTGGATTGCAAAAAAACATCTCCACATGGGGGGGTACTAATCAGCCGTGAAGATTCTGAATTGAAGGTGCGATTCTTTTATGGTTTCCCACGATTGGCGCACGCTACACCATTGAGAAGGCTGGTACGTGTAAAGCTTGCACGTACCATGAATTATGCCTTCTTCCGGTTGCAACGGGCCTTCGGACGAAGCGCGGTGCTCACCACAAGAAGCTGGTTGCTGTATGGAATTCCACATAAGTCCTTGGGTTTGCTTTGAGACTCTTGCGTGGTTAAGTGTTTGTTCATCCTTTTTCGCTGAAGCTCCAGAAATGGAGAGAGTGCTTCCTGGACTTAAGCTCCAATTACAAGCAGACCACACGTTTATGCTTGGTTTGCCCCTTGTTCGTCAAACGCTGTAGGGTCAGCTGCTCCAAAGGAACAAGTCTGTTCTGGCACCCATAGAGCCATACCCAGACACTCCATGGGACTGCCATAGGACTGCCGATCAGTTGGGGTGGTTTGAGGGGTCAATGGGGCGGCATATATGGCAGTCCCATGGAGTGTGTTGGATAGGTATCTCCGTACTTCAGATGGTCCAACGGAGGTGACTTCGTACAGGTCGAGGGTGGACATCCGAGGTGGCCGGAGGTGAAGCACCCGGGCAGGTTGTGGGACGAGAAAAGGCTGGGCTTCCCGGTGTGAATTTGAGACCTGCCCCAGGAGAGACCAGTGTCTCCCAGTTCTGGTTGTCATTGAGTTTCAAGTAGCGCCACCTTTCGTTTGGCCAGTGTATATAGTCTTAACGCAAGTGGTTTGGTGTAGAGTCTAAGCCTAAGCCCATAATTAGGCACTAGCTGTTCATGCCAGGTCTCATGTCAGGACGCTAGTTGATCAGCCGCTTCTCTGCTTCTGTGAGCCACATCGCAGATCGTCCTGCAGAGGGTGTCCAGTCTCCTCAGCGCCGTCCCTATCACAAGGTCTGGGACTGCTGCAGCGTCCAACACCACGTGCGCTCACATGCTTAGCGGGGAGAAACGACCGGCCGACCCGGCACGGGTCTCGCATGAGAGCGGGCCCCAGGTCTGGGTGAAGCTGACCCGGCACGGGTCAGGCCGTTCTCGATCGGTGTTGTGAATGTTCTGTTGTATGTTTGTTGGGTTTGAACTCTCCGTGGCATTGAGAGCAAGAACTGGGAACGCCTTTTTCGCAAATATGTATTAGACCAGAGACTCATGTTGTTCAACTTTATAAACATAATTGCATTTTTATGCAGTCTGCAGACCATGTAGTAGACATTTCCAGAATGCCATGCAATTCGCCCACCTCTCCATGCTGAAAGCGTGCATCTATTTCAGATCAGATACCCAAGAGAGGTGGAACGTGACCGGGACCATAGGACCCGGATAACCATGGGGTACCCGGTACCCAACTGGGATAGTCTCGTTCGGGTCATTCAACCTTTGTTGGTATTCCCTACTTCCAACCAAACCCCGGCTCCCCACTGTTCCCCGGCCAAACTTCCCGGGGCATCCCCCCGCTCGACCCGGCTCGGTGGCGAAAGCGAAGCGGCGCGTACGTCTTCCGCCGGTCAGCCCGCAGGTCGTGGGTTTGGGCTTCAGAACCGGACGCGCCCACTGCCGCTATGTGGCGTCCTCCGCGTTATGATGGATTATCATGGACCATGGTCGTGCGGTTGTGATCTACTTCTTGGGAATCATCTCTGGCGTCTGCATTCTCCCTGCAGTGCTCTTCACCCACGAGCACCTGCTCCCACGGCCAGCCAAAACGCCGGCGCCTCCGACGGTGGGACCTTCGCCCAATGAACTGTGGCCGACGGCAGTAGCTCCGGGGCAGATGGAAGATCTCAAAGAGAGCCTTGGAAAGCTGGAATGGAAAAAGCAGTGAGAGAATCGGATAGGCAATTGAGAGTAAATGAGGTGAGCTTTGCTACCCACTACCCACTGGATGTAGGCATGTTAGGTGTGTTGCATGCATTGAAATCTGTATAGGTTGTACATTTCAGAAGCACCCCCCGAGGGGATCGAGCGGGGAACTCTGAAGAACCGACTGGTCCACTGGTCCAGGCATCAAACAATCTACGATGGTTTATCAACTGGCAACATCTGCGATTGTCATTGGGTGTAGCATCCTTTGCAGGCTTGCATATGTATGCATCTGTTGTCATCGCCCCACTCTAATTCCATATTGAACTATAGGAGCTAGACAGAGGGCGACACGAGCAATGATTTACGGAAGAGTCGGGTTGGCTGCCAAGGATTAAAGGTACGTAGGTCATGGATACATGATACAATATGATATATACATCCCTAAGGGTCCAGGGCCATCCTGAGGATGTCCTTTGACAACCCAAGACCATTCTCTGGAAGTACTTTCACCTCCAAGACCATCCTCAGGAGGTACCTGGACCCTATGGGCATATATAGATATATACCAGTATGCGTGCAGTTTTTAGGTGCCTATGACTGGCCCGAAAAGATGGGAGATTCTACAGGCTGGTCAGATTTCTGAAGGCAGATAGCCAGCCACCAGGCTTCCATCCGAGCCCCGTTTCAGCAGCTTCTTGAGCCCCGTCTTGGTTGTCTTACCCGGACGCCACCCAGGCCAGGGTAGGTGTCTAAGGTGCGGACTCCCGAGGATTTGGTTGCACCTTGATGCGCCCTCCCAACTGCCCTATGAGAAGCTGGACACATATCAGCCTGGCAGCGGCCGCTTCAAGGGCCAAGCTGGACAAGACAGGTCAGGATTTAGGGTTTGTTCATCACACCTGAGTGCCTTCCATGTGGAGAGGGGCTGTCAAGCTTTTACTATCTTTTACTTGATCGAGGAGTTGAAGTTAAAGGGGCTTTGTTGCTTTTTGACCACTCACTAAGATGAAGAAGCTGAAGTAGCTGGGAAAAGGGCAGCAGTTTCTGGTTTCAGTCACGTCCTTCCGTGGGTAGACCGGGACCACCGCTCCTGAGAACGAACCTGCTTTGACAGCACCCCCCTGTGGTCAGGTTCCGGATCATTTCGGTGTGATACCCCCATGGATCCACATACCGAACCTGAGGTACGGTGAAGAAGGAGACTTATTATGTAGGTGCCAGGAGGGTCCAATTGCCTTCTGAGAAGCTAGCAGTGGATCCACATAGGGTTGGGATGATTGAATCCTACTGCACTCGATGTTTCCTTCTTGTCAGACGAAGCCATCCAGCAGCAAGGCAATTTTTTCGCTGACTGAAGTCATCGAACGCTTCGCTGACTGAGCTCCCTCAAAACCTTCTCACCGGGCCCGGCTTTAGCCGGTGGGTTGTTCAACCAATCGGCTCGAAGGTGGGTGGATCAGGTTCTTCAAAGCCGCAGAAAGCTCTTCGTGACTCGGATGAGCTCGCGATCCGCGATCGAGACTGTCTTCGAGTCTCGAAAGGAGAGAGGGGAAGGGCTAGCCTGGCTAGGCCCGGGGAAGGTGCTACATCATGTCGTAGACTGATTAACATCACTTCCATGTGGAGATGCAATACCATTCCAGATTATTTATCCTGGTATGATTTGATGAACCAATAGAAAGACCAAATCCCTTCCTCACCACTTGATTGGGACATATTTGGAGCTTGGAACCTTATAAACATATGATATGGAGATACTCCCGTCCTCATTTCAAGCAGGGATAATTTACAGTAGGTGCTCCCCATGCTGCTTCACAGCCCTGGCAGACACCGTTTTCGGCGCCCTGGCAAACACCGTCGTCGGCCCCAACGCGCTCCTTTGTCTCATCGCGTGGTGGCAGGTGGTGGAGTCGGGTGCGCTGAATGGCATCAATCACTCCAACTCCATCTTCTTCGAAACCGAGCGCGACTGGGAATGCCCCTTGTCTTTCATTTGATGATGTCCGCAGGGGCTGGATGAATGAAGACACATTTGATGGCAAGCCGTTGATGATCATAGATGTGGATGAAGGGAATTGGAAGAAGCCTCAAGGTACCACTGGGGATTGATGTCAGGAGTCTTGCTTGAATACTTTTATGAAGCTAAATCACATCGGTTAGTTTGTTAATGTTTTTATATATGTTCTTGCTTTACTGTCACGGTAAGCAGTCAAAAGGAGCCAGAGCGAAGAGTGCCAAGATGATCCACTGAATGGACATGGATCGCTGGTGTAAATCATTACAGCTGTCAGCCTCAACACCATCAACAAGACACTTATCATCCAGGAGTCACAGAGCTCGGGGTGGTGTGAAACGTCCCATCCAGTCGTGAGTGGAGTAGCTGGGCACCTCAAACCTCTATGGGTCGCCACCCCGTCGAACGTGGATCAAGTATCATGAGTTATCCAAATCAATCAATCACCCAAATCGGCCGTCATCACCGTGATCACTCCCATCACCCCCCTGCTGCATCGTTCACCCAAATCGGCCCAAAAACACATGCAGATCTTCGCAAAAAAAGGAACAGCACATCACCTCCTGAGGCTTGCTCGTGGAGGCCAATCCTTATTTATGGCCCGAAGTGCGCGCGAGACACCGGAAGTGCTTCTTCTTAAGCGGCGGCCTGTCCATCACCAAGGCATGGAGCTCCACTCTCGCGGGAGCAGGGCGTTAAGCGGCCAGGGGTGTTAAGCGTAAAAAGCGGATCAAGGGAGCTTCTTCCTTCCTGAGGAGATGGTTGGAGCCCTAGGGCTTATGATTAATGTTGGATCCTGATTAGTAAATAGGCCCCCCCCCCCCCTCCCTCAAACAAACAGGAGGTCCTCTATAATAAACTATCACCAAAACAAATCTGGATTCCTGGTGAGGGATCTTTTGTAATTGATTGTAGTATTCATTATCCTTTTGCTTTGCAGCCTCAGTACTTCAGCTCAAGAGAAGCCTCAGATCTTCAGCTTTCATGGCTTCCTTCTCAGATGAAGTCCTGGTGAGGGATCTTTTTGGTTCTGAGACCTCTTCTGTTGCTTGGTTCTGGTTGCCTAGAGAAAGCTATATCAGCTAATGAATCATAATCATTGGCCTCAGGAGCTAAGTAAAGGGAGATTCCATGTGCATTTTT